GGGGGGGCCCGGCTGAGTCCGGGGCCCGGCAGCTCCTCCCCCCCTCCCCCCCATGTCCATCCAAGATGGCCGGTAAGTGGCTCGGCCTCGGCCTAGGTCCCGTTCCCCCCTCACAGGCCCCGGCCAACGCCGTGTCTTGTTTGTGCCCGCAGGGATCCCGCTCTACTTCGTGGATTTGCAGGATGACTTAGACGACTGTGAGTAGCTGCGGGGCCTCGTCCCCCGGGTGGGGCGGGGGCTGCTGCCGGCCTGCAAGCGGCCCTTCCGCGCCTGGCAGGGGGCCCGGCCCGAGGGCTGGCGGGGTCTCGCTCGGCTGTGGAGGTGGGGAAAGCACGGGGCTGGTGGTTGTTTCCAGGGGAGCCGGTATTTCCTGGGCTGCGGAGGGGTGTTGCTGCCTGGGAAGGGGCCTGCAGGACCGTATCTTGCTGGGATCCTTGGACCCTGGCTGATGGCCTGCCCCTGGGGCGAGGGGCTGGACCCGATGATCTTATGTGGTCCCTTCCAGCCCTAATACCTATGAAATCTGTGAAGTCTGTGAAATCTGTGAAGTCTGTGAAATCTGTGAGTCTGAAGTCTATGGGTCTATGAAACGATGACATCTGTGAGTCTGTGAAGTCTATGAAATCTGTGTGTCTATGAAATGTGAATAAGACTTTTTTTTAAAAAAAAGAAAAGCTCCCGAGGAAGGCAAGCGACAGTAGCCTGGCCTGTGTTTGGGTTGCTATAGCAGTGGACCAAGAGAAGTAGGGGCTTTGTGTCGGGTGAGCAGCTTGCCGTCAACCCCTGTCGTTGGCCCGAAGGCGAGCTGCTCGCTTGACGTAATCCCCGAGTTGCCTCGTTCCGGGAAGGTGAGCCCATGCGCTCTTTGTGATCCCAGCTGGCGCTCAGCGGTACTAGAAAGAGGGGTTTGTTTGTTTTTTGCTGTTTGTATTCAACTACCAGGCTTTCCTCAACTTCCTTAGGTCCCACTGATGTGTTTCTTGATTTGCAAACGCAGGGCTTCTTTCAGTCCCTCCTATTGTTTCTTTTCGTGCATGTCATAGACGTTAGGGCTGGAAGGGACCTCGCAAGATCATCGGGTCCGGCCTCCTTCCCAAAGGGCAGGCAGTTGGCTGGGGTCAAATGATCCCAGCAAGATAGGCATCCAAGTGTTTTAAAACAGAGCTGCCTTGATTTGTTTGGAGGTAGGCTTTATTAGTGGACTAGTTTTGTAGCTGCTTTTTTTTTCTTCTCCTTAATTCTCCTGTAATAATGGCAGACTTTGCAATAAGCTTTATTTGACATCTTAACTTCCTGCATTTACATCTCGGTTGTGCAGAGTTTACTGGAGAGCAGGGAGAATCTCAACCCTCCAAACATGCATGCACATCACAACTTCTTTGGAGCTCAACAGAGTCCCTCAGATATGTCAAGTTAGAGATCTGTATGTTTAATTAATGTGGGGCAGAGAATATTAGTTTGTAAGAACATTTCTGAGTATGGGGAGCCCCCTCCAGCATTTTAGTTGTTGACTTGGGTTCCTGGCTTAAGAAGAATGAATTGGTTACTTTGGACCATTATTATTTTTGCTTAGACAATCCTTTTAATGGAGAATGGTAGTTTAAAGACTGTGGTGGAAGTAGAATAGGTTTGCCCTATAAATGTACTGGTGTTATATTTTTTTGTCATGTATCTTCAGCTATAGCATCTGTATGATGCATGGGAAATGTGATAAGGAGGAAATTTTGAGAAACAAGCAAAAAATGTCATAAGTAAGCCCTTAAGTAGCCCACTGGAAAAACCCATACATAGCAAAAACCTCTGTCAGAGGATGGATATTCACTTTGTATGCTTCTGAATGTTGTTGTTCCTTGTTGAACAATTTTTGCATTTGAGCCCTATGGTGCTTGTATTTCATTAGTGAATGGGTAAATGTTGTGTATGGTTTGCACTTCAGTTAAATTTAGAAAATTCTTTGGGATCTCCTCTCAGGACCAAAAGTGATATGTGAAAATAGTAATAGGAAGGATTGTATCAAGCCTACCTTGTGTTCATTTTAAGTTTGATATTATGAGTGTGTGTTGAAGGATTTTTTTTTTAACATTTCACTTCTGGGAAAATAGATTAAGTTCATAGTGACTGATAATAAGTGAAAGACTCAGAGTTTTAAATATCTCATTAAAATGCCATCTTCCCTTCTGTCAAAATGACTCTTTAGAAGGAGAGAGATCATGCAAATTCTTAAATGTAATTGAAAAATATAGGGAATCATCTTGCAAATTAGTGAAATTTGGTTGTGGATTTATTGGATTACCAGTATGTATTTCCAGTTTAATTGTTTTAAGCAGAGACAGAAGACTGTTGCTACTGTCATGGCCTCAAACAAATCTAAATACCCATGTTGAGCAAAGGCTTTGAAGTAGGGGTAGATCAGCTAGTGCACTTGTATATCCCTGCACTGGATTTAAAAGAAGCTTAGCAAAGCTCAATACATCTTACCTTACATTTGTTTTTAATAATAAGGGAGCCAAAAGAACTAGTGCTTCAGATTAAGATACATTATTAGAATTGAAAATATACTTTGTCTTTTTTTCCCCTCTGCTACAGTTAAAAATAAAAACAAAACTCATAGTTCCAACAAAATAGCTGTCAAAATAAATTCAGGTTTGCCAACTAATTTTCCCCACTTCATTGGGAAAAGTGAAAAATGCCTGTCTGATCTCTTCTGCTTGCAGACCAAGTAAAATAGGAGTAGCAGCAAGTGCAGACTTCCCACAGTTTTCTGCCAGTGTGGCTTGACCTGACTTGGAGGGGATCATCAGCAAGGGTGAGAGGGTAGTTCATACTCATTAAGTCTTTAGCCACTGTGCAGGGGCACTCAACAATGGTGTCATTTGTCCTGGTAACTTGACTAAAATAGTTTTATGGTTGTTAAACTTCTGGCTTTGGATATGAAGCTAAAGTTTGTCATATTTGAGGATTTTTATCTCTACAAGCTTTTATATATAGCGGTGACAAATAATGAAAGAAACGAGCATTTTGTACACATCCTTGTAAAGGTGAATGAAATATATATATGTATATTCTAATCAACTTTAGGCTGAAAGGGACATACATAATGCAGCAGATTTGATTATCATTAGTGGGGCAGAGAGAAAGAGAAGTATCTAATTTATAGCAGGGTTCTTGACACTTATTGCCTTCTGAACTGATCTTGAATTAACAGTGCCAAGTATGAACTGCTCCTACTTGGTATGAAAGAGTATCCAGACTTAAGATGAGAAATCTGAGAACTCAGTATATGGCTTTCACCTATTAATGATTAGTCTTTAAGATCAAGGCTATGGAACAACTAGGAAATAAAGTGGAGATTAGTGGAGAACTGGGTGAGGAGGTGCAATGCGTTGAATCCAGGAGAGGTCCCATGTGTAATGGAGAAGTAAAATCTCCCTTAAATTCTAAGAGAAGTGATTGTGAATAGTGTGGTTTTTTAATGTTTTATTTTGATAAAGATGATTCTGTAGATTTAATTTCCTTAAAAATATCAAGCGTCCTTACTTCACCAGCCCTCAAAGGTGCAAGGAGACACTTGTCTACCCCATCTAGGGCTGCGCAACATAAAATATTTAAGCAGATACAAATTGTGAGCCTGTTAATGGAAACTTATTTATAGGCTGGCATGATTTCAAAAGTTAATGTCAGCCATTAGAAATAGCTAGTTAATTAGAAGTAAAATTTAGTTTTGGGGTATAGAGTTTATTCATTCATAGTATATCTGTGTGGTGGGAGGTGTCGTTGTTCCTCCTCC